AAGAAAGCTGCGCTTGATAGTACTGAAGGCCTGCTGATGGTGCTCTTGGCATTGTTTGGGATGTTTGCCTCTTCCCAGATCAGGAGACCGTTTCTGACCTGTATGGCAGAGCTTGAGGAATATCTGGAGAAAAGTGAGGCCTGCAGCAGTTCACTGAAGAAGTTTAGGAACCATTCCTTTAGCTCTTCATCCCTGAGAGGAAGAGAATGTTTTAGGGCTGTGTCTTTTTGACCTGAGAATTGGAAACCACTTGTTACCACCAGTGATAATGACCTGATGGCATGGTGGGATTTGGGATCAGGAGGAAGTCTGGATGCAGTTCTTAAGAACAAGGCTGTTGGCGTGCGTTTTGGCAATGTAACTTAATATGAACGTAACCACTTAGAAGTGCTTGAACGTAGGGACTGAGGAGGAGAATCTGGAATTGGATGATGTCCAAGACCTGGCAGGGAGTTGTGGATGCTGTTACCTGGGAGGCTGGTGGAAAAACATTTCTCTGCAGGGAGACGATTGGGTGTGACCCAAATCACTTGAGTGCTGGGACACTGTCTTGTAACTTTAAATTGTATTTCTTCCTCTACTATACCCTTAGCTGGGTCTTAGCACCATCTTAGTCTCTTAGTCCTTACTTCCCACTGAAAGACTTGAAATAAGGTTCTAAGCTAAGGCAAAGGTTCTTTGAAGCTGTGGCAGGGGAGTGATAGGCCTTTACAAGGTTCTCGCAGATCAAGAAAGGTGCTGAACAAGAAGTTGGAAGGAATCCGGGGAGGAGCTGGGAAGGAAGAAGGGTGGTGTCAGTCGTAATTGAGCAGATCATAGCATCTGTCTTGCAGTGTGTTTCCTCAGCATGTTTTAGAAAAAATGTGAAGGAAGTTTCCTACTTGCTGCTGCTGCCTGCTACTCTTTTGCTGTGTCTCTGGAGACAGACGGGATCCATACACTTAATAGTGATGTGCAGTGAAATACTAGCATCTAAAATGGCCTTGATAGGCATTTGAATTTGTATCTTTAGGAATAAAGGTGTGGGTTTTGTTGTTTGTGGGGTTTTTTTTCGTAGTTGTTGTTGTTTTATTTGTTTAACATCATGTTATCTGTAGATTTAAGCAGACTTAGCTAATTAAGCTGAGCTTAACCTTCAGGGTTGTCTTTGAGTTGTAACTGCTAGATGCTGATTTTCCAAAATGAAAGTGAATTACTGGGCTGTATTATAACAGCAGGTCTGGATAGAACCTGGTACCTTACACTGCTGCATGCCTACCTATTCAAGCCCTGAGTTTGATACTAAAAATTGTAATCTTGTCCATATTTCTACTTATCATTTAATCGTAACATTTTTTGTAAATTTATTAATAAGTATTATTTTATTTCACAGTTGATCAGAGAAAGAAAATAGAATTGGAAATGGAAGAGACACGTATCGAGGCATTAGAGGTACAAACTCTGTTCTTCATACAAGAAAAACTAAAACTCCTTTCAGTAAACTAGAGCTAGTAGAAGTCCTGTACCAACTACACATTTATTGTAGAGGACAAATAAATGGAGGAGGGGGAAAAAAAGTACAAAGTTACTAAACATAATTACTTTAATAAAGCATGTCTTGCTCTCTTAGACTCTCAAAAGAGACTGGGAATTGCAGTCTGAGATGCGTTTAAAAAGCATGTGTGAAGAACTGTCTGAAAAACATCAGACTGAAGTGGTGGAACTGCAGAGAACTCTGGAAGTGGAGTTAGAAAAAGTCAAAACAGACCTGGAGCTTCGTTCTCTTGAGAATGAACAGTCTAAAAGTAAGTGCCATGGTCTGGGAAGCAGTTGCCTTTGTTGATCAATGGCAAAGCTAACTAAGTGGTTTAGAACCTGTATAAAAAACAAATACAAGATATATCCATTTACTTAAAAACTGAGTTGATGACATGAGACTGTCTAGAAAGCAGGACATCAGTGAAAAATTGTTTAAAGCCTAGTTAGCTGTGTCACGTTTTGATTTCCACAGAATATGAGGTGGACTATATTTTCCTTCAAACTTATTAAAGGGAGGAGCTGTTTTACTGCCAGCTGAAAATCTGCTTTGACAATCACTGAATTAATCAAAAATCTGATTAATATCAATAGAAGCTTTTCTAACAAAAAGAATTGGCTTTGGATTGTGAATAGTTAAAGCTTGATGGAACAGTAACATTTTGAAATACTGTTCTGGAAGTGATGTTTTTAAGACGACTGTAATTGGAGTTTTCATTAACTTGAAAAATGAAATCTGGATGAGTCCCTGGCTGGGTACATCTGTTTATGCCTTTTGCTGAAGGTGCAGATAGGAGATAGAACTATGAAAAGTTTGTGTAGGTCTCAAAAATCTGGCACATTTGTTGAGACAGCAGTTGACATGCACAATAGTGTTAGATTTGCTGTCAGTGATAGCATGAAAAGAAGCCACGAGATACCGTGTGCCATGAAGTGAAGAGAGCTAGTTGGGTTGCCTAGCCTCTGAGGCACTAAGCAGGTGAGACTCATGGAAAATAATACTCTCTAAATACATGGAAATGCACTGTTAAGGATACTGCACGATGCTGGCAGGGAGGCAGCAAGACCAGATTTGAGAAGTGAAGAGTAGCCTTTCTAACCTGCCGAGGAACGGGTGTTTTCAGAGTGTTTGGCTTGCCTTTGACTGCTGCGGGAAGCGTTTGTAGCAATAGCTTGTTCTTCCCAGCCTGTGCTGACTTTACTGGGCTTCCCTGAACCTGTATCATTAGTCTGTTGCATGAGGATAATGCGCATCTCTTGCAGCTTATTGTGGCTGAAGTGTCACTTGATGGGCTTCCCTGAACCTGTATCATTAGTCTGTTACATGAGGATAATGCGCATCTCTTGCAGCTCATTGTGGCTGAAGTGTCACTTGACTGCAGATTCTTTCTGGGAAGGTCAAGATTTCGCACTGAAACAGGCTGCCCAGAGAAGC